GAAACAAAAATGTTGACATGCGATGGAGCTGCTGGCTCTGGGATGCCTGGCTTGAAATTCCACTGCAGCAAGGCAGTATGCACGATAACTAGAATAGAAGCAGGCCCTCTCCGCGACCCAGATGGGATCATCGATCCAACAGCGGCCGTCAGGCAGACCGCCGTAGCAGGGTCTGTCCGGCAGTGGAATCACGGGACCGGCTCACCGGACCAGGCAGCGTCTCCTCAACGTCAGTGCCAGCGACGACATCCAGACAGCGACGCAGCAGACAAAACCAGAGCAGCTGAAACCTGCAGCTCGACTGTGGCGATTGTTATGCGCTGGCCGCGTCTAAAACAGGCACGTCCAGGGCCGACAGCCGGGTCTCTGCTGCAAAAAGACAGCCAAGGTCGCCCGCCGAAGCGAGCGAGACGACGTGCGGGAAGCAATTCGCAAACCGGCGCCGTAAGGTGGCGCTCAGAGTGACGGTAGTGAGGCAACCTGAAGCCACAAGGGCCACTTCACACATGCACTCCGCCACGCGCCTCATCCGTGGCCCTTGCAACTGGGTGCCGTGAGGCTGGTGACGTGGCATTCAGACCCGATGGAGCGGGTCTCGGGTGGCTCAGTGCCAACGGAGCCGGGCTCGGTTGAGCGAGAAAACGGCAACCCTGTGGCTTTGCCCGGCTTTTTGCGTTAATCGCAGATCTCTGGGCTTCTTTCCCGGTTCAGAGGGCGCACGTCGCCCATGTACACATGTACTCGGTACTTGCAGCGGTGAAGGGCAACGATCGTCTCGCTGACTCCGAATGGTAGAGCACAAACCTGGCATTCCATCGGCGACGAGATTGAATCACAAACGAAAAGGCCTGCAGAAGCGAGACTGGAGCAACAAGATGAGAATCGGACATGCTCTCTGCAATGACATCGAAGACGAGAGAAAGACGAACCCAGCAACCGAGCCCTTGTCAGTTTCTCCAATCGTAGCCGCCAGAGATCCCGCGACCGGGTGTCGTTGCTCAGGTGGACAGGGGTTTACGGGCGTTGATTGGCTTGTGGGTGATGAGACAGCAGGGATGTGCAATCTCACGAGTCTTCAGTAGCGAGTAACGTGACGGCGACGAGGTGCGGATTGCACGGCGGTTCTTCACACCCCCATCGGCGGCTGCTGGGGATGGATGAGAGAATAATTGAAAAGGGAGAAAAAGTTAGTTCACTTTGGGCTTTGTGTGTGTTGGTGTCATCCCCCACGAAGGTCCGCACAGACGAAGGAAGCCCAGAGAATTGCCCGTCCGTCCCGTAGCGCAAACGTCGGACTTTTTGTTGGTCTTTTCTCGTTAACGCGGGATTAGCGCGCTGGGCGTGGGATGTTGCAAAGCCGCCTTTGTTCAAGCTAGAGCTGGGAGGTTACGGGGGCTAGCTAGAACTCTTCAGCTGGTGAGTAATGATGCGTTGGCAGGTTTACCGACGTATCGGTTCAAGTCAAGGCGTTCCGTGGACGGAGCTGTAGACCAAGTCTCCTTGCTCACCTTACCCTTTCGGCGCATGTACGTTTTTTCTTGCCTTGACTAGGAGATTTTGTTGGAAAAGCTTCGGGAGCTAAAAGACGCCGGCGGGCGACGGACGAGGGTCCGGCTGAGAGGTAGGTTGGGTGAGTGGATAGCGGGGGCTTTTTTCGTGTTGGAAGGAGCCACTTGCTGCTGAGGGACTTGTGTTTGTATGTTGGTTTGCTATATGGATCTCCTGTTGGATTGAGAGGAAAGTGGAAGGACGGATCGTGATAGGAGGGGCCTTTGGGGATGCGGGTTGGGCGGCGTGGCTTTGTTTGTTTGGAGCTGATGGCGGAGGAGTGGGATGGGATTCGAAGGAGGTTGTTCCTGGTCTTCCTCTTTGGGTTGCGCGAGAGGAAACGTGGAGGGTGGCGTTTGCTTTTCTGGCAGGTTTACTGGATCCGCGGGAAGGGCTGGGGTAGTGGACTAAGGTAGTGCTTGGTTTGGTTTAGATGAAGGGGAGAAGTCCGGGCTTGGTTGAGGCTGGGGAGAGGGAAGAATGGGTTTGTGGGAGGGTTTGAGGTCGTGAGGAGGAGTGGTGTTCTGAGAACGGCGATGGGTGTCATTCAGAGCTGTTTATAAGTGGGTGGTTGTGTTTGTTCTTAGATAGCAGCAATGGAACTCGTAGTTCGCGGCAGTATTGTCAGGACTGGGGCTTGGCCTGGGAAGAGTCTATTGCCTGTGAATGTTGCCAATCTCGAGACGCATCGAACAAATTTGGAGTTGAATGGTTACGTATTAGAGAGAATACATGACAGAGGGTGAGGAGTCGCAGAGACGGAGGTCGGCGATGCTGTAAGTGAGAGTCTGCGGTACTGACGGGAAGCACGCTTATCAGCATCGTCGAGGACTGCAACTGATTACTAGGAGGACTTCCTCGAACAGAAGACTTGCATCGTTGTCGGTGGCGGCGGCTTTCCAAATAGTGCGGAAGGACTTTTATATGAGTGAAGTCTTCAAGTCTAGAGACCTACTTGAGGATATAAGAGGCCCTGTGGCCGTCTTTCGTTCTCTTCAGGCGGGCCCCGAAAAATGGACTTCGGGCGTATGGCCAGAAGAGGGAGATCCCATTCTTTCCTGTTGGATGAGTGCGCCCCGGTGGTGCTAACTGACATTCCATCTGTTCAATCCCCAGCCGACGCAGGTTTTTGTTGCCTCTGTTTGTCCTCAGTATCGTCTGGTTATTCAGCAGAAGGAACTGTACGAGGCTACTTTAGGGGAAAGGGCGATGGGCGGTGAAGATACTAAAAAGTAGGTGATTGTGGCGTGAAATCATGTAGATAACCTTCGTAATCACCTTCAGAAAAAGCACGGGATATTGTACTTCTATTGTGGATTGTGAAAAATGGTGTGGCCTCCCTAGAGCTTTATACTTCGTCAATCGGCTATGAAATTCCCTGAGAAGTAACGGCAGCGTCGGCACTCTAAGCAGGTCAGCTCAGAGGTGGAAATGGTGATGAGTCTAGAATGTAGTTCGTAGTACATATTTGTGATCTCCCCAGTTCTCTTTTATTTCTGGGGCAAATCATGGCCCAAAAGATGTATGTAATTTTTGCGTTATGCTGAACATCGTACACTTGGTGATACGGAGGTGATGTCCCAGGCAGGGGCAATGTTACAGACGATGAAAGATTCGGTCCCACTTCGCTCTTCGTTTCTCATCGGGGTTGTCATTTTATACGTGGAAGAAGTCTTGAATAAGCACTAGATTAAAAGGTGATGGTCTGAAGCATCATGAAAGGGCATGCCTTACGTTTTTCGACATCGGGTATGGGATCAGTGTAGTGTCCAACTCTATTCGGGATGGGATGTGCCAGCTCAATCCTCGTCCATGGCCTTACGTTGAATGAGAACCTCGTCCTGTTAGCTGAAAGTATAAGCAAGTGACCCTTCCATGAGTTTTGATATGTTTTCCTAGGCTACTCTATATTATACAGCGCCTCAGATGCTGACCCGAAAGAACCAGCAAACATCGACCGCAGCCCTCGCTATCTTCGAAGCCGCAAGTCTCTTGGTTTTCACGTACGCCTAGGGGGTTTCAGCTGGCTGCTGGAGTGCCTCCCGCCTCATCATGACTCGGCTTCTTTCTCTTTGGAGAACGAGGACCGGAGATCCTCCGTCTTTAAAAGAGGGCGAACACTGTGTTTTCGGGTAGCGTTTGTCAACGGATTGCGAGCTGACGGAGATGGATGGGCAGAAGTGCCCCCGGGCTGTCCTTCGGGATTTGGACTGCAAGTATCAGTGGTTAGACTCTATGACGCAGCACCATCTCAATCTCACAGAGATGCCAATCTTTTAGCTATGTGGTGAGAGTACCATGAATATCCCCATGATGACGGGCGATAGAGAACTTCATAGACACATTACACGCGCCAGCATACCGCAACCCCCTTGGAGAGGAACGCCACGGTAGATAATTAGCCCAGGCACATACAAGAATTCGATTACCCTCAACATCACTAGCAATGGAATCACAATGACATTTCGAAAGGCCGTGTCAATATATAACTCCGATACTAACGCTCATCCATCATCGATGTACGCAGCTTATGTGCGGGTACTGCATCCATCTTGAGCAAAAGCCAATATGGGATGTAGTTGAGGTGTCAAAATAACTGATGAGAAGGTAGGCGCCGCTACAGTCACCGTTAACACTATTCTACCGCTGCCGTACTTGTGCTGTGTGTTTTGAAGTACCCTCCCTGTCTTTTGGTTATACGGAGGTCGTATGGCAAGATGATGGACGCCGACATTGGATGTAATTATTCCACTGATATAGAGGAGAACCCCGATCTCTGTGAAGAAACTGATTTCAAGGCTAGCTTTGATACTCGGCACTATATAAACAACGTCCCTTCTCCTCGTTCAGCGACCAAATGGTCAATGACGAGCGCGTTCCAATAGCTAGAGGTGGCGAGTCGTCGGCGGACACCAAGATTTGTCAGAGAATGGGGTTCGCTCATACATCCATAGTAAGCTCGAATCGAATTCTGATCAGGGATATATAGCAGGAATACGCGTGGAACAGTACCTTTGAAGGACGGAGACGATGAGACGTGATGTGGCCTTGTCCTTTGATTCATGGATTGTGTCGAGGAAGAGTGGCATACGCGAAAAGAGAAGCCAATTCGATTCATGTAATGATGTGAATTTCGCGATGTTCCTCTGATTGGTTGTGTGGGATATTGAATAATTTGCTCTGTCACTCTCTTTATATGCGCCATGAGGCTTGCGGAGTGGCAACAGGGCTTCCGAGGGCATTGCGAACCCCGTTGCAAATGACATTTTTGCGCTTATTTAAACTTGAACCATGTGCAGTGGTGATTTCCTTTCCTCAGAATGGGTCGTGGAAATGCTTCGCGATAATATAGCCACTTTGTGGTGGGAAATAGTTGGCACTTCCTGGCACCATGCTTGGTTGCATAGACATCGTTAACTCGTGGATGTCTGATACAATATGGACATTGATTATTAGATGTCGAATAAGCTGGAATATGCGAAGGAGAGGGAAGAACGGGCGCGGAGGTGCTGTACAGCCTGCCACTGTAACCAGATATACTCCATCAAGCGCTTGGCCATCGGCTCTGGATTGTGGCGAGCCCTTGCGGTCTTGGAGTATAAATAATCGTGGTGAATCTTATAGTGTATCTCATCAATAGGACGGAGTCGATTGGGCGGACTGACTGACGTTGATCTCTCTTCAATGAAAATGAAGCCCGAACGCAAGGCCGTAGACTGTGGAAATATATGGCCTCGGTCTCTAGAGCCACAGCTCTTTGGGACGAATAAGCGCCAAGTGACTGACTACAAGGAAGGACGGTGATCCACACCCAGATGCCAACTTAACGTTGCTTCTAGGTCCATGTTGGGTGCCGAATTGCGTCGATGGACGGCTTCAACGACGGTGCCGAATACCCTTGACAGGCGTTCTCATTGTTGAAGAGCCAGCCACCCACGGGATGGGTACCTAGTCTTATACGACGCCATCGAACTGATTCTTATTTCTGAGTGATTGATACCCAATTCAGCTATCGATCAGGCTGTTGCCAGAGAGTCGGCCCTCGGGACGTGAAACGGATCCAATCGCCAATCTCATCTGTGAGAGAGCCGACTACCCCGTTAGCATGGGGTTGCCACACTCCGCCTCCTCTCATCAAGGCAACGTACGACTTCTTCCTGTTGCGCAGAACAGCAATAAGGCTTTCAAGTTCACGATTGAATCTCAATGACGCCAGCCCACTTCAATTCGAACGACCCATGCGAAACCGGGTTGGGATGCGAAACCGGGTTGGGATACAAAAAAGCTTTTTGCTCTATTCCATTACTGTAAGAATATCTGGTAAGTAGACGCGTGGTGCCAAATACCACGCTGTCTCGTTCGGCGTAGACCAAGACCTGTCGTTTTTCAAATTTTGCGTTTGCGTCTCCATGTTCATCGTCGTGAACGAAAACGCCTTCCAGCTCCCCCACCATAGTAGTATACATAATCCCCTGTCAACCCGTCTTACTCCATCTAGGCAGCAAAGCGCTTGGCTCTGGCCTCCATCCTGGCCTTCTCGGCCGGGTCAACCGCAGCACTGCGCTGCTTCTCGACACCGCCGCCCTGGCGACCGTGTCTGTTGCCCCTGCCGCCGCGGCGTCCACGGCCGTCGGTGCTCTGGCGCTTGGAGTCACGGCCGGGCTGCTCGTCGCTGCGCTCGGGACGGCCGCGCTTGGGGCGTCTCTCGGGAAGGGCCGAGTCGAGGGCGGAAGTGTTGGCAGCATCAGCATCGGCGCCAAAGCGCTTCGCGCGTTCGGCCTTCTTCTTGGCGTCGTCGTCCTCCTCCTCGACGATGCCGAAGCGCTTGGCACGCTCGGCGCGCTTGCGGGCTTCTTCTGAGGCGTCAGTCGCGCCGAGGTTGAGGGCGAAGTTCTCCTTGGGCGCGGCGGCCTCCTCAGGCTTCTCTTCGGTGGTCGTCTCGGCAGCAGCAGGGGCAGCCTCGGGAGCGGCCTCGGTGGTTGCTGGCGCAGCGGGCTCAGCGGCGGGAGCTGGGGCTGGGGCGGGCTCAGCGGCAGGTGTGGCCTCCTCGGCCGGCTTGGGTGCTTTGGCGGCCTTGGCAGGCGCGGCGGGCTCGTCGTCGCTATAGTCGATCTCGTCCTCCTCTGCGGCTGGGGTTGCGACGGTCAGTTTGGGGTCGGAGGCGCATTCATTCCATCGACGTACCTGGCGCGGAGGCAGATGCCTTGTCGTTCTCCTTCAGGCGGTTGACCAGGTCAAGCTTGTTGCCCGTGGCGGGAAGGCTCCTCTCCTGGAGAAGCTTCTTGAGCTCGGGCACCTTCAATGAGCTGTAGTCGGTGGCCATGCTTGCGACTGTGTGGTTTTTGGGGGATAGGGGATAATTGGAGATGTGTAAGAATTGTTATTGCGCAAGCGGAGATGGGAAGAGATTGATGACGACGAAGTGGAACGGTGGAGGGAGGCTGGTGGTTGACGATCGTCGGGGGTTATGACGATTTTTGAGGTGAGGCGCGTCGTTGCTGGTTTGGTTCGCAGGACGACAACAGCAGAGCTGGCAGCAGCGAGGTAGCACGAGGTGCCTAGGTGCGCCTTCCTGCGCCTGCCAAAGCTGTCGGCGGTACGTACCGCGCAGCTAAGCAAGAATGCAGGAGCACGGGCCACTGTTCCTGCATGAGCCAAATTGTTGCTGCAATTGTTGATGGAATTGACGATGGGGAAGACAATGGCCATGGAGGTTATCTTTGGATTAGCTGCGGCTTCCCGTTGAAGAGGAGACAAAGGATGTTTGGCTGTTGCGTTACGGGCGGTGTCTTTCGGCGGGTTTTCATCTTGTAGCGTGTCTTGTTTCGGCAAGCTGCGAGGACGCTTTCAGTCAGACATGTCCAGCTTCAACTTGGACGTCGAGAGGCATAGTGTGATGTCGAGAGCATTTGCAAGAGAAAATGAGGCTGGGAGATGGCTTCGTTTGCGCATCTGCAGACACTCATGTTGCGACCGGCCCCGAGTCTCAGCTGTCACGACTTCAGCTCGGCTCGTGGCGCGTCGAAACTGACTCAAGCTGTGCCGCACGCATAGTCGCTGTGTGACGTCGAGCAGCAGAGCCCCAACTGATCTTCAACCTAATCGACCCGCCGGTCCGTCTATGCTTCTGTCATCCGTAGGGGAGGCGACATGATGAGTGGTATTTCATCTCGTCGTGTGCGTCGAGACTGCCATCAACTGGGAGCATGGCTGCGTATCAAACTCAATTGGCCATTGACGCGCGGCCGGGCTGTGTGGAATGCGTCAACAGGGCAGCAGTTCTTGCCTGATGTGCACTGCAGGAGTCCGTCTATTCTCATCAGACCAACTCCTCCACGTCTCGAGCTTACGTGTATCGCGTGGAGGGACTGTGACGCTGTCAAGATGGAACGGTGGACGGCCGGGCAGGGCTGCTCCACCGACATGGAAGACGCCCCGGCTGCCGTCAAGGAGGACGATGCTGGATGCTGCCGTGCCGTCGTCCGTCCCCCCGTCTTCTGGCCCGTGTGCTTGGTGGCCGTTTCTCCAAAGCCATTTGAAGAGACACAATGCGTTGGACCAGAACGGAAACGGTGTGTTGAATCATTAGAAAGAGAAGGGGTGAAGGCGGGAGGCACGTGCGATGGCCTGGGAGGGGTTAGTGTGACCGCCCAGCCAATCAAACCTTGATAACCTAATCGATGGATGTTCGGTCGGTACGTATCCGTCGACCCTACCAGTGAGCCCGCGTTCCACCAGGCGCGCAAACAGCTGGCGTGGTAAGGTTGGGTTCCGGGTTCACTCAGGGACCTTGCGCCGACCTCAGTGGGCAGTGACCAGTCACTGGTGTCACCCAAAGCACCCCCGGGGCCAGGCCTGACCTGTGAAAGTGAGCAAAAGTGAGGTTGCTACCCCAGATTCTGGCAGCTGGCTCCACTAAACTGGACCTGTATCGACCGAGTCCATGAAATCGCCTATCGTGCCTTTTTCGCTCCTTTTCTGCCGCCCCCCCGTCGCCCTGCTGAGCTGTCGTCGTTCATGATCCGAGAACAAGCTCAGTCGCCCCATCTGCAGCCCTTATTTCTTGTATACCAAGTCCGTGGGCCATGATATGGCCTAAGCAGTAGCTTGAATTAGGCTCGCCGGAGCCGATTGTTCGTGTTCGTGTTCCCCTTACCATCCCGCATTTTCTACGTTACGCCGCCACCACCGGCCATCGCCCCCAAACAACACTACTTCTTCCACTCTCTGCGACAATCCCGGTGTCGCCCAAGATGACGCGCCGCATAGTAAGTCCTGCCCGGCTGCCCGTCGCCCGAGACCCGCGCGCTGATGCCCTGCCTCCCCTAGGTGCGCACGATAGTCCAGCTCACCGCGGTGACGCTGGTCACCCTCATCGTCGTCGTCTTCCTCGACCGCAACTTCCGAGTCCTCCCCAAGTCCATGCACCACTACATGCCCCAGCACCACCATGGGCTGATCGTCACCGACATCACAATAACAAAGTGTTCCTCTCTCAACGTCTTTTCCTCCTGCAAGCTAGACATCAACAAGTGGCACCGTATCGAGAAGGATCTGTATCTCGGCAAGTCATGGACGACGAGCGCGTACGTCCACGTTGCGCGCAAAAAGGAGGAGGAGCTCGTCGCCGAAGACAAGGTCGTTATGGACGTTTCCGTCGGCAGACTCGACCCCACAACTGCCAAGAAGGGAGAGGAGGACGAGCGGTGGGAGAGCCGACCTTACGGCCTGTGGGTGAAGCGCTCGTCCAACCAGAAGGACAGCGACTCTAAGAAGGCCGTCACGGGCGTCGACGTCCTCTTCGGCGACGATGCCGTCGAGGCGCGCAACGGGTGGGAGATTACCGGGGGGACACCCCTGCTCCTGCCCCTCAACGAGGACGTTCCCGTCTCCCACCTCACCGTTCGACGAGGAAGCCAAAAGGAGCCGACGAAGCCGCACCCACGGATCGCCGACAATGGCAAGTTCAAGATTGTCCAGCTCGCCGACCTCCATCTCAGCACTGGCGTTGGAAAGTGCCGCGACGCCCAACCCGAGGGCTACAATGGTGATGTGTGCGAAGCGGACCCCCGGACCCTGGACTTTGTGCAGAAGATTCTCACCGAGGAGAAGCCACACTTGGTTGTGCTGAGCGGAGATCAAGTGAATGGTGAATCGGCGCCGGATGCGCAATCGGTAGGTCATCTCCGCGGTCAAAAGATGGACGTGCGCTGACAAAACAGGCCATCTTCAAAATCGCTTCGATTCTCATCAAGATGAAGATTCCTTACGTCTCCATCTTTGGCAACCATGACGATCTCACACTACCTCGCTCCGCGCAAATGTCCATTCTCGAATCCCTGCCATACTCACTTGCGCAGGCTGGCCCGGAGGACATTGAGGGTGTCGGCAACTACTACGTTGAGGTTCTTGCTAGGGGCAAGTCTGACCACTCGGCGCTGACCCTGTACATGCTCGACTCACACGCCTACTCGCCTGACGAAAAGAAGTGGCATGGGTACGACTGGATCAAGCAGAACCAGATTGACTGGTTCAAGAAGACGGCTCAGAGCCTTAAGCAGGCGCATAAGCAGTACACCCATGTCCACATGGATCTGGCATTCATCCACATCCCTCTTCCCGAGTACAGAGATCAAGAGCTCGCCATCAAGGGCGAATGGAGGGAGGGTGTGACAGCACCAAACTTTAACTCTGGTTTCCGCGACGCCCTCGTCGACCAGGGCGTCGTCATGGTCAGCTGCGGACAGTAAGTCTCTTGTCTCCTCCCTGCAGACGTGTCTAACAAAACGTAGTGACCACGCGAACGACTACTGCTCTCTCTCAACTGACAAGGAAAACAAACCTGCTCTGTGGATGTGCTACGCTGGCGGCGTCGGCTTTGGTGGCTACGGCGGTTACGGCGGTTACCACCGTCGGATACGCGTCTTCGAAGTCGACACCAACCAGGCGCGCATATTGACGTGGAAGCGTGTGGAATGGGGCGATACCGGCAAGAGGATTGACGAGCAGATGATTGTCGACGAGGGAAGGCCAGTGGGCTTGCGGGTGCAGCCTTGAAGCACAGAGCGCAAAGCTCAAAGTTTTGACGGGCTCGTCTCGTTCCAGACAGCAGTTTGAAATGAAAAACGGAAAAATGGAGTTTGGCGGGCACCGGAGTCTGGGTTTGTATTTTTTACCAGTCCCGAGATGAGGACACTGGGACGTTTGAGTTGACTCGGACGAAGGGGTTCATGGCATGTATTTTCCTGAGAAGCATCTAATGGATCGGCATCAGGCGGAGAGGACGGTGTAACGACATGTACATGTATTTGGTACTGGGTAGATTTCCTCCCTCTTATCTATATCAAGGTTATTCAAGTTGTTCAGATGACCAAGCCGGCGGACGGACGGCCTTGATGGGTTTTTTGCACATCGGAACAGCTCCTGTTATCAATCTAATGAGACCTGCTACGTTCGCTTTTTTCGGGCTTTCCGTGCTTCCCGTGGTCTTTGCCCGATTCTGCACCTTAGTCACCTGGTGAGTGGATAGGTCCTTGACCGAATAAGGGCTGTTGCCACAGTGGCGGAGAGGCTATGTGGATGGCTGGAATCGTGTGCTTGCTACTCATCTTCCAGAACACTGTATGTACTTGGAGAGTTGAGAATCCCATCCCCCTTTTTTAGACCAATCAGAGAATTTACAGCGCTGAGGCGATGAATCAGAGCTTGAAATAACCCTGAAGGGCACGGTGAAGTGGATTCTCATGTCTCCAAGTATCCATGCGATGCATGAGTACATGAGAATACACCAATCTCAAAGCCACGGGTCCCACATTGAGGCTGATTGTACGCGAATTTATCGTGGGGTTCATCCAACTACCTGTATGACAGACCTTCGCGGGTAACGTAGCCGGTTCTCCCCACGCGCCATCTTTTCGGCAACCGTATCTTGGCCACTTCTGTATGAGCAGCCTTGGTGGCTGTGTGCAGCCGTGCATGTTACTGGCTGTGTTCAGAGTAAGCTTATGCGTCCATAACTCCGCCATGTCGGAGATGGCATATCTGAATAATGTGTCCACCATATTTATAACGTTTGCAGAATGAGGAAAGCAAAACGTCTTCCCCGATTATCTCCCGTCGGCTCGCTGGAGAACGGTAGACTCTTGTTTAGAATATCTTAGTCAAGACTCGAAGGAGCTATTGAGCGCTCTAGAACAGATTTTAGGATACCTGGAGGTATTATCTGCCTGGTCACCTTTGTAACTTCAACGCAAAGCCCGCATGACCTTTTGAAAGCTTTCTGACCTTTGGGGCATAATGATTTTTTTTAAAAATAAATAAAGACGAAAGCCATCGGTACGTAGATGTACTTGGGTTCGGCGTCGGGCGTGATACGGTAGCCCGCTGAGCTGGTCGAACTGCCGACCTGTACGCCACTATGTGCAAGCCAACGTGCGCCTCATCTTATATCTCCGGTCATACGATAATCCGTCTGTTTCTTGCATTATTCGAAAACGAGGCACGGAATCTCATCGACAAGTGTCTTTTTCCCCCTTTTTGTTTTAGAAACAAAATGGCAATGGTTCGCAACGGTCGGTTGTGACACACAGAACATAGATGGCCTGGTCTAAGTTTAGAAATTTCTTGATATGGGGTCGACACCGCAACGTGCGAGTGACCGGCAATACTGTTTTCCTAAGGCAAACAAGTGCTCAAGTCGAATAGAGTTTGATTTGTTCATGTCACATTTTCGGGGAGATGTGTAAAACATGTATTGAGAGGTGGCTGTGGTGAAAATGAGCATAGTATGGATCTCAGCAGGTCGCGTCGAGATACATGTGTGGTCTCCAAAGAGAGGCTTGTAGAGTAGATTCACATGGAAGGCTCAGACAAGCCGTGGTTCAGGAACCAGTGTTGGAAATTTGGTGTGAGACTACTTGGTGATAATACGCTCTTTGATATTCCCCTGAATACGTGACTAGTGGCACATCTCTCTCTGATATGAATCTTGCCTGAGTGATTCCGCCACGCCCTTTTTCTCAGCAAATTTATCAACAGTATATCCTGTGACTTCTGGACCTCGCGAGCACCTAGACGGGCTTCCCACAACAAAAACAGACGAGTACCGATACTACTTCAACCACTGGGCTTGCACTATCGATAGGTCAGCTGTCAATGGGCGCTGGGCCGATGTCCTCCGATTCGTCTGAAGGAGATACATACCGAACCTGACAGTGTACCGCGACCTTGCTAGCCATGTCAGGCCTTCGCCCGTGTGAACTCTGAGCATAATTACAAAGAGGGAAGGAGCGGGCCAAAAGGCTGGCTGGGTGATTACGGTTCCTGCCATCACAGTATAAGTAGCCGCTATCCCATCGTCTTCTTGGCCAACCTCTCCCTCTGCACCATCCATCCAGCAGCACCTTTTTCGAAACTCGTCCAGAAAATATCAAGTTGTCATCGACGTTCAAGTGTTTGTGTCTTCTGACATTGGTCTACCGTGGACTGTCTGCGAACGCCCGTGGTCAAGAGCGATTTACAGCGCAAAACCGAAGCTTGAGAGCAGCTGAGACCCTGAGTCGCAAATATCGAGAAAAAGATTACATCTGTGAAGGATCAGTCTTGTCGAGTTCTTTCGTTAAGTAACGCGTTGAGCCGACGTACCAAATAGTGAGTTGCTTCCTCCTTTTTCCTTCTTGCCCCTCCCTGTCTCCCCTTCCTTTCCTTCCGTCCTTCCCTTCCGTCCTTTCCTTCTTCTCTCCTGGCCTTGCACATATTTCTGCTGGCCTATTTCCACCTATCTTCATCTCTCACACATCACCGCCATAGTTGCACTGTCTCTTTCTAACTTGGAGCATCTCTTTCAGTATTTGATTTTATCCTTCCATACCCTCACCTTCTACGCGCGGACTTGCACACGACAGAAGCAAGATGGACTCCAACCCTTTCAATGATAGATCCGCGGATGCGGGTGACTTCATGCTTCCGAACCTTATGGAGAGGGATCTTGAGTGGGCGGAGTCACTCTCAGACGCACTCTCATTTGGAACCAGCCCAGACTTTGATTACACGGTCGGAGCCAGCCAATGGCACAATTATCAGTTAAGCCAAGACGCCCAGCTCGGCAGTATTGATGAGCCAGCTCCGCAGTCAAGCCCATTCCTGGTCGGCCCTAGCGCTGCTGGTCAAGCTGGCGAGCAGCCTCAGATTCAATGGCCGATCCCGGCTGTCCCAGAGGAGCCTATGGTGATGGAGACTGACCAGCCCGGCCAGCCTTTCCAACCGGATTTGCAGCCCACGTCGGTTGTCTTTCCTTTCGGTAGCGCAAACACCCAGGATCAGCAGAGCCATAACATGAACGCGGATGCCGAGCTCGTGAACGCGGGGGCCACGACCATGAATGAGGAAATCCGGGCCCTGAAAGACACGCTGGCACAGTACACCAACCAGGAGCCAGAGATCACAAACGCGAAGGCCCAGGACATGAACGCAGAGACCCAAACCATGAACGAGGAGCCTCAGATTACAAACGCGGAGGCCCAGGCTATGAACGGGGAGAACCAGGACATGAACCCGAAGGCCCAGACCATAAACGGGGGCCCTGCACAGATTGATCGAGGATCTGGCAACATTCCTGATGCCCAGACAAAGCATCTTTCCATTGATTTCTGCGATTATATGGCATGGGCACTTACTGTGAGGAATGCCCGTGCCGCACTGAAGAGGTATTTTGAATCCACAAACCCCTATAATCTATTAGCTGACGATCTCGCAGTGGGCAGCCGGCAAGTATACCTCGAGACATCGCGACGATGAGTGTACGGGCCTCGTATTGTCTGTACGCAAAGGGTCATCATGAACTGCCACCCACCCCAATCGAGTGGACGAGGCATTCCAAGCACGGTCCAGCATGCCTTCCCTGGGAACTTCAGTTGCTCAATAACGGCATGCGAGAGTATATGCGCAAGGATCCAACTTCTTCTCCAGGCAACTACCGAGTCAGATGCGTGCCTTTGGGATACGGCCGCTGGGAAGTTCGGCGCAATGACGACATGCGACGCACGCTCTTGGAAGACGGCCCGGGACCCAGCTATGTGTGGCACGAATACGGCTATGAGGCAGGGCCAAGCTCGTCGCAGAATGGAGTGCCGCCTCGACAATACAGCAGACGGGGGACTTCACGATTCCGTCGGCAAGGTCAGACTCCATCGCAACCTGCGTCGGGATTGTCGATGCAATTCCAGCTGCCGTTAAACCCGCAGATGCAGCTTGTATACGAGGGACGTCAGCAACAACAGCAAAAGCAGCAACAGCAGCAACAGCAAAAAGCTTTGCAGCAAGTTCAACAGGCTCGGCAGCAACTGCAGCAGCTGCAACTACAGCTTCAGCAACAACAGCAACAGCAACTGCAACAGGAGCAACAGGAGCAAGGGCCTCAGCAACTACAACAAACTCAGCAGCAACAATGACTGCAGCAGTAGCGGCAAAGGTCCCAGTCCATGCACTGGTCGACGGGGCCAGGGGCGGTATAAAACAGGATGTGCGGCGCAGCGAAGCCAATTTGCTAGAGAGGCTGGGGCGAATCAGCATTTGGCCATCGGTAAAGAGATGGTTGGGGATGTGAGGTAATGATGGAGATGACGCGTTTCTCCATGTAGAAGTAGGTCCAGCGACAAGATGTGTAGGAGTCGCCGGGATAGGCGCAAGCGTTGTGGGAATGAGGAGTATGGGGTTAACGGGATCGAAGTGTAAGCCTGAGTAGCAGTTAGTACAAGCATGAAATTGTAGTGTCAGTTGAAGCGATTCCCCGGTGTCTGTGTCCCTGGTGATGTGATGGGTGAATGTAGAGTGTAAAAAACCACGTCGTTGGCTCAGGGGGATGTTGAGATTTTAAATCACCCATCTAGACAAATATGCAACACAAAGGTGGGTGCGTGTAAGCCACGACCCTGCATCAAGGTCCATAACGGACACGCGAGGCCACGTGGGTATCATGAGACGAAACCACAGATGCGATGAGAAGAAAGGTAAGAGAGAAAACGCCACAAAGGGACTTTGGTTCCTGAATGCTAGCGCATCCTTCGTGGCCCTACACGACCCCAATGGGCAGGTTCTGCTGACGGGAGCCGGAGCCCCACGGACTTGATCTGCTGACCCGGAGCCGGCACTCCTGACCGGCGCGACTCGACACCGAGCCGGACGGCGAAGAGCTTCTTGCTTACCGATACAACCAGGCGAGGTGAGGTTAGGTTGGGATGCTTAGTTATCGTGCTTGGGACACGCCGCAGCTCCATGCCTGCAGCTCCGAGCTCTATAATTGGCCCCACTTCCTTCGGCACGCGAACCGCCCGCGGGGGACTGGAGCGGAGTGACGCCATCGCTTCATTGTGGTGGGATGCCTGGGGCCCTGGGCTGCAGCAGTGGCTTTGGGTGTGTGATTTCTAAGCACGTCTGGATGGCCCCGCGGAAGAAGGGCGCGGTGGAGGGGTCACTGTGACGGAAGCATTTCCCAACATTGGAACAGTGCTTGCCGCATGGCTTCAGCGCTGTTCCACGGGGGTCCTGGCGGGTCTTTCCCACCCCATATTATTAAGGTAACAGCTGTACAGCTACGCGGGCGAGGGGAGGGGTTAATGAGCTCTGGATTAGTATTTAGGAACTCTGGCCTCGGCGTCGACTTCTTCCTCCTTTTGCACTGAACTATCTTCGACACCCTGTTCTAACGACATCTCGTGCTTCTCTTGCGAAATTTGTCCACTTACCTTATTCAATCCACCCATTCATGACTACCCGACTGGGACAGTTGAGTAAACAAGTATTCAACATGGCTGCCAAGACCAAGACCGATATCCACCTATACACCATGGGCACGCCCAACGGTATCAAGGTCTCCATTCTGCTGGAGGAGCTTGGCCTGGACTACAAGACCACCGCCATTGACATTTCCAAGAACACCCAGAAGGAGCCCTGGTTTCTCGAGATCAACCCCAATGGCCGCATCCCCGCGCTGACCGACACCTTTGAGGATGGCAAGTCCATCCGTCTATTCGAGAGCGGAAGCATCATGCAGTACCTCGTCGACCGCTACGACAAGGACCACAAGGTCTCCTACCCGTACGGATCTCGCGAGTACTGGGAGGTGAACAACTGGGTATGTCTGAGGCGGGTCGATTGAGAGCATTGAGCTAACGTGATGCAGCTGCACTGGCAGATGGGTGGTCTTGGACCCATGCAGGGACAGGCGAACCACTTCAAGCGTGAGTTGCTACTGCACGTCACAGATTATCCCGAAAGGAAGGCTGACCACTCCCCCAGGCTACGCTCCCGAGAAGATCCAGTACGGCATCGACCGCTACACCAACGAGACCCGCCGCCTGTACCGCACCATGGACACCCAGCTCAAGGCGAACCCCCACGGCTACCTCGTCGGCGACCGGGTGACCATCGCCGACATGGCGTGCTGGGGCTGGGTCGCGGCCGCCAAGTGGGCTGGCATCGACCTCGAGGAGTTCCCCGCGCTGAAGGCGTGGCTGTGGAAGCTCGTCGAGCGTCCCGGTTTCGAGGCGGGACGTCACGTCCCCTCGCCTCACAAGGCGCTGGAGCACTACAGCAAGACGGACGAGGAGCTGGATGAGCAGGCCAAGGGTGCCAGCGCGTGGATCCTGAAGGGCATGCAGGATGATGCCGCCAAGAAATAGGGCGTAGATACCTTATGAAAAGTAATTCATTCAAGCGCTTGATGTTTTAAGTAATGTGACATCTGCTGGTGCTAGTGATGAGAGGTATGGAGACCAGTTGAGACTGGGTCAGCAAGTTGAGGTGAGTGTGAGATACAACAAGAGGTGAACGGGACATGCTAATTATTCTAATTGACTAGTCGGGAAATAATCCATCTCATCTCACTCACACTAAGATCATGACTGAGGCCTAAGCAGGCAGATTAGAGACTCAATCCAACGAGACCGACACTTGAGCCGGATCGCGCGGCCTAGGCCCCGCTACAAGACGCCAGAACTGGGCTGCCTACTCAAGCTCAAAGGAGTCGAATCAGGTCGGTTAGCTCAGTTGGTTAGAGCGTGGTACTAATACATCATCTGGTGTATCTGGTAATGCCAAGGCCGGGAGTTCAAGCCTCCCACTGATCATATTTTTTTGCCTTTTTGACACTGGCTGTTTTGTAGACTTCCTTCATTCTTGCTTGGTTCCTCCTGCTTGTGTCATCGTTCTTCGGCAGCGGGTGACTGTGAGTGTATAGTTGAGTGAGTTTACTCTAAAAACTTTGACTCCCTATCACGTGGTGAGCCCCACCTGCCTCGCCGTCGCCAAGACTTGCAGCTGGCACCAGTCGCAGCCGATCAAGGTCAGCCAGTGCTCCGGACATGGTTTCCATCTCCGCAGGTCCACGCTAAACTCGGTTCCATATAAAAGTTCCCTCCTCCTTCATCGCAATCCCCATTCGCCATCACACCACATCACCTCCTTGCGACATACCATTGTTATCGCGCAGCAATCAACATGTCGTGGAGAAACCAGGGAATTACGGGTTCCAACAACATCCCTCTCGGGAAGCGCCGTTTCGGTGGCGACGATGAGGAGCCTGAAGCCTACAGCAACGGCAACGGCAATGGCGAGCTGAAGCGCGGTCGCAGCCCAGAGCCTCGTGAGTCTCTTCGGTTTGGCGCCCCCGAGTTTTCGCAACATAATCTGACATCGCGAACAGGCACCGACGCCGATGGACCTCGACGCCGAAAGAAGAGAAACCGCTGGGGCGACGCGTCGGAGAACAAGGCTGCCGGCCTGATGGGCCTGACGACGGCCATCACGGCGAACATGACGGGCGAGCAGCTGGAGGCCTACACTCTGCACTTGCGCATCACGGAGATCAGCCAGAAGCTTCGTATCGACGACGTCGTCCCCGCGGATGGAGACAGGTAAGCTCCTTCGCGTGCATACTCGATGGTTGTGGCTAACTCTCTAGATCCCCCTCTCCGCCTCCGCAGTATGACAACCACGGTCGCCGTATCAACACCCGCGAATACCGATACCGCAAGCGCCTCGAAGATGAGCGCCACAAGCTCATCGAGAAGGCCATGAAAACCATTCCTAACTACCACCCGCCGCAGGATTACCGCAGGCCCACCAAGACCCAAGAAAAGGTCTACGTGCCTGTTAACGACTATCCAGAGATTAACTTCAGTATGATTGCTAACCCTCTAACCCTCCTAACCAAAATTCTTGTTTCCCTTGTTCCCTGCCTGGATCTCGGCCAAACTTGTCATGCATCCTCCAGGTGTCTTGTCAGACCTGGCCTTGTCAGATCGGGACCGTCATTGCTTGCTTCACCCTTTTGATACAGATACTAACGCGTAGCTCTCCCACTGAAGTTGGCTTACTTATCGGACCCCGTGGCAACACTTTGAAAAAGATGGAAACAGAATCAGGCGCCAAGATTGCCATTCGTGGCAAAGGCTCCGTCAAGGAGGGAAAGGGTCGTTCCGACGCCGCCCACGCCAGCAACCAGGAGGAGGACCTGCACTGTCTCATCATGGCCGACACAGAGGAGAAGGTCAACAAGGCCAAGAAGCTCATCCACAACGTCATTGAAACGGTACGTTTCTACCCTTCATTTGTTTCGTCACCCGCTAATCACCCTCGAAATAGGCCGCCTCGATTCCGGAGGGACAGAACGAGCTCAAGCGTAACCAGCTTCGTGAGCTCGCTGCTCTCAACGGTACACTCCGAGACGACGAGAACCAGGCCTGCCAGAACTGCGGTCAAATCGGCCACCGCAAGTACGACTGCCCCGAGAGACAAAACTACACTGCCAGCATTATTTGCCGTGTCTGTGGCAACGCAGGACACATGGCCAGAGATTGTCCCGACCGCCAGAAGGGTGCCAGCTGGCGTAACGATGGCAGCGCCCCCGGTGGCAGACCTGCCGGTCGCATTGGAGGCGGAGATGCCGTCGACCGCGAGTACGAGGTATGTTACCACAATCTGTTGACTTTTGTGACACAAGCTAACCCAAGCAGCAACTCATGCAAGAACTCGGCGGCGGCTCCTCCAGCGGTGCCGCTCCTGCGCGCATCGAGGCCGGCCCTGGCTCGTACAATAACGGCCCCAGCGGCGACGCGAAGCCCTGGCAACGTGGCCCCACTGGTGGTCCTGCTCCCTGGCGCAGCCGTAACAACGACTCGCGCGACGATCGTGACCGCGACGGTGGTGGTGGCGGCGGCGGCGGCGGCGGCGCTGCTCCTTGGGCTCGTGACCGTGGCAGCCGCCGTGATGACCACGGTGGAAACGGCGGCGACAGCTACTACGGCCAGGGCTACGGTGGCCAGTCCTCTGGTGCCGCTCCCGGTGCCGCCCCTTGGCATCAACCTCCTGGAACGCAGAACAACGGCTATGGTGGTGGCTACGGCGGCTACGCTGGATACGGTGCCCCTCCTGGCATGAGTGCTCCCGCGGG